TGCGGGCATCACTACAGGCTCTGGTTGACTCCCTTTAGGGCCAGAACATTGGGCAACAGGGTGAGTTTTGTGAGAGTTTTCAGCACATACTGCAGGATTTGCTGGTTCGGCCACAGACTTCACTGGAGGCTTTGCTGGTTCGGCCACAGAGATACAGACAAAGAACAAAATAAATGTGACTTTCAGCATTCAGTGTTATGAAAAAAAAAGTGGTCAAAGATCAGAACAGGATTCACAAGCAAATACTAGTTCAGTCTTTCTACTTTATAGCTTCACATTTAGTTAACATTGTCCTCCAGAGCAGTCTTGATCACAAGTACATCCTCCATAGCATGACCGTCAACTTTACCAGACACTACAGGGGTGTTATTGTAATGTTTACAACCTACCCCACTACTGGTGAGGTGTGTTATAGAAGCACAATGCAGATGGAAGATAACCAGTTAATATGTTGTTTTTAAGTTTCCTTTTACAACTAATGGTATGCTACTCCACATCATATTTTGTAAGGCACTTATTTATGCATTTCTTCAGACAGTGTAAAGAAGCTAAAAGATCTTCTTACCTATGACTCCAGCGTGGTTTGTGCTCAAACATGCAAACAGACACAATAAAACAACACTCAATGAGCAGTACACTCGAGCTGTCATCCTCTCGACCTGCGATCTCACAATCAACTCTTCTAGAAGAAGATGCACCGAATTAGTCAGCCAGGGGGACAGTGAAGCACTCAAAACTACACTAAAAAGAGATGTGCTGCTGAATCCTTTAAGATAAATTGCTGTCTAAAGATTTATAGATCCAAGGAAGTCCGGGTAGCTCCAACACTGATGAAACTCACCTGTAGCTTTCTAGAAGCCTAATCTTGAAGACCTTGATTAGCTTGTTCAGGTGTGTTTGATTAGGTTGGGTGCTGCGTTCAGGTCAGATGTCTTGCCTGAAATGTAGTCGAGAGTAGGCGGCTGAATTGAGAGGAGGAGTGAAAAAAGCGCAGGCAAGCCAGACAGATCTCATTTCTCGCAGTGGGTCTGACACGTGTGAGATCAAAGACTGAAATCGGGATTCAGGCTCGTGCACAGTGTTGCTAATAAACTGGATGTAATTTAGGTTCTGTTGCTTTTATATGAAAATAAATATAATGAACAAGATACCCAAAGTACTTAGTTATTTAATTATATTCCAAATATGTGTTTATCAATCTTTTTTTTTCTCTAATACAGACATGTGTTTTTTATATATTGTTTTAATAAAAATGACATCATATAATATCGCACTGTCAGAGAGTTTATTCACTCATAACATATGTATACACATAAAACATGATATCAGAGTTTTAAAATCAAACATTTTAAAATACAACAATACATCACGGTTGTTTAAACCAATGAGCATTAAGCTGTGTCGACAGCAGTGGTGGAAAGAGTACTGAAAAAACATAGTCAAGTAAAAGTACCATTACATTCCAAAAAATGTAGTATGAGTAGAGTAAAAAGTACTTGTCCAAAAAACTACTTGAGTAAGAGTAAAAAAGTAGCTTATTTAAAAGTACTCAAGAGTAGTGAGTAGTGAGTACTGAGGTGCGGATTCTAACCCTTATAATAAACACTGTGCACTACAATTTATAAATAAAAAAAATGCACATACTGGAATTCACATTATATTTTGTTCTTTGTAAGAAAGATTGAAGAATATCTATCATCCATCTTTTTAAAATGCATCAAATCAGTACACTCATCACCATTTAAATCATATTATTTGGGGGAAAAGCATTTAAAATTAGGCGAAAAGCCACAGGGCCTGAGCATATTATTGTTGCACATAAAATATCAATATTCATAACTGTGCAAAGAATTCAAAGACCTTTAGAAACTCATATGATAGTTCAGCATCACACACCAAGAGATATGGGTTAAATAAAATAAAAAAATACCCAATTTCTCTCCAAAATGGTACCAATGTTAGTGTTTTGATAAATGAGAATCACTAATATTATCATATTACCTCAACTAATGCACTGAAAAAGGCTAAGATAATGAGCTAACACTAATTACACACTTTTATTCCATGCTATTAAATATGTTACAATTTAAACGTAAATGCATTGTTCTAGAAGGATGGCATCATCCCTTACATTTTACACAGCTACTCACATTGTAATGCTATTATCAGCATTAAATGCTGATAATATAATTTGTAAGGAAAATTGTGCATTAAATAGGGAAGTTATATCCAGGAAACTTTTACAAAAGAAACAAACACACTTTGTCTCTGAAGTCTCGGCGAAGCTGTTTTATCAGCAGCATCCACAAAAAAAAAAAAAAAAGTTCAGCATGAAAAATGTTTTTGCGCAAGTGCACTTGCCAAATGAAGACGGATCATATAATGGATCAATCAAAAAAAAAAAACGCTGTTTATTAACGGGCTGTGCTAATTTCTTATTAAGAAATGCAGTTCAAGTTAACGACATGGTGCACTGATTCTGAATCTTGCGGCATGGCGAGCGCGAGACGCGGCTTTGGGATGAGAATGCGTTGGCAGTGCACAGATCGTGACGCGCGTCTCTCCTGTGATTGTAAAATGGGAGCGGGAATTCACCGCATTATGAAGTCGTCTCGCAATTCCCCCAACCTCAGACCAAATGTTAGGCCATGTAGACAGGCCAGCCTATATAAATATCATATTAAGCAGAAATGTGAAATGTACCTTAGCATATTAGAGCAATACGCTGATATCTGGATTGAATTGATGCGTGATGCACTTCCACTGCAGTCACGAGTAACAGCAGGAATAGGCGGTACGTTTTCGATGCTTAATTTGAATTGATGACAGTCACGAGACCGATTACTCGATCCAATCACGTTGATGGATAAAAATAAAATTAAAACAAGCATGTAACGAGTAACGGCCACAAACAGAAGGAAAATAGCGGAGAAAAAGTACCGATACATCACTTAAAATGTACTCAAGTAAAAGTAAAATTACACAATTTTAAACTTACTCAAAAAAGTACAATTTCTGAAAAAAACTACTTAATTACAGTAACGTGAGTATTTGTAATTCGTTACTTTACACCCCTGGTCGACAGTGGTTTCCTATCATGCTTTTGATCAGCGCTGTCGGTGGAGAGCAACAGCCCTACAAAGGCAAAAGAACTTAAAGATGAACTGAACTGAAAAAAATAATAATAATAATAATAGAGTTGGAGTTGGATCCAGATCTAAAGGGGTGAGGATTAGGGGTGGGGTTAGGAATCAGGTTGAATTTGGATCCAACTCCTCTCCCTGCATTCCATGTTCTGCAGTGAGGACCATCTCAAAGATTCAGGTCCTGAACAATACCAAGGTTCCCCTGCGAAACTGGGCTAGGCACTGATAAAACGCCATTATCATTCTTTCCAAGAGCAAAGTATGCCGGGTTCTCTCATGAGATGGAATCAGCTGGCTTTTGGCGTAGATGATTCTGGACCCCAGATTCGTGAAACGAGAAGAGAGCATCTCTGTGTCCCATTCTGCACACTCCCGTGAGTGAGCGCATGTACGATAATCATCCAGATGAGCAGATATTCTGAGCCCATTGTGTCTCAGCATTGAAAATGCTGCCTCTATGCACATGTTGAACCCATGCAGAGTTAGGCTGAGCCCGAATGGAAAAGTAAAAAATGTGTACACTTCGCTCTGAAAGGAAAAACAGATATATTTCTTGTGCGCAGGACAGATGCTTATATATAAGCTTCCTTGAGATCACACCCACAGACTGTGCGAATGATAACATTGTACTCACGACTGAATCCCTTTAATTTGGAATTAAAGCATTGGCACATCTTTTTTAAAAAAATGGCGAAAATGCTGAAATCAGTCAGGAAATTTGAGTCAATTGTTCCGTTTTTAAAATAGTTGCTGGTTCGATAGAATTATCTATAAGATTGCTTTTAAGGAGCACGTGCACGTATAACGCTAATATATGGGGGCATATAATAAGTAAAAAGAAATCGCTAGTTTATACCAAAATCGCCCCACACTAACACAGTAACGTAACGTAATAAGATGATACTTTATAAAGACAATCCACTTCGTGTATACAGGCAGGAGAAAATAGTCGACAAGTCGAACCACGAACGCTGTTCATATAGTTCAGAAGTTTACTGAACTTTTTACAGTTCAGCTCACTTGGCACATCGTTCGTGGTTCGACTTATCGAGACTGTTTTCCAAAGGTCCTGCTGTGTATAAACGAAGTGGACTTCATAAGTTCTTATTAAACGGTCTGTACACCTACAAAGTTCTCAATGCTTCATTTTGCATGTAGGGACCCTTATCATGCGACTGTGTTAATGTAGGGTTATTTTAAGCCTTGTTAGTGGTATTAACTAGCGATTTCTTTTTACTTATTAAATGCCCTCATACGCAACATGACATCATGACTTTTGCGTAAACATACACGCCAATTTCGAGTCAAGTGGCGTGTTATCTCGACGCATTTTGAGCTATCCGCGTGTATGTCTACGCCATTAACGTCCGCGTCATTCCGCGTGTCTGTACACTCCGTCAAATGTCCGAGCGAAACAAAGCAAAATGTACATCTACATCTGGGGAGCTATGTTTTTCTTTCCTAGGATGGTAAGGGAACAGTCATAAATGCCATTAACCCTAGTGACGGGTAGGTTTAGGGACGGGGTTGAGGTAAGTCATATTTATATATACAGTAATAACGTTAAGTCAACAGCGTTCATAAACACGCTGAAAAGAAATTATGCGTGTTTATCGCACGCCAAAAAAGGAAATACGAATTGGCGTGTCATACAGACGCTACTTCATGAGATCAGTCTGTCATACTAGCATTATAAGGTAAACAGTTTAGAGATTAAACTCTTTACATTTGAGAATGAAAACAGATCTTAGAGAACGGTTAACTAGGTACCAAAGTTTTATTAGACCAAAGGTTCATTTTGCGCCAGAGTTCTCCTTTAAACGTGCTAAATTAATGAAACTTCAGGCAAATGAATTGATTTCCATTTTTTATTTTTTTTTAAACAGGGAAAACAATCATAAAAAACACTGTTAACTGCATGCATGGCTTACTTCATGGCCAGGAGGACCCCCCCCTTAGAACCAGGATATTGGGCATTAGGGTGAGTTTGACAGTTTTCAGCACATACTGCAGGCTTTGCTGGTTCAGCCACAGGCTTCACTGGAGGCTTTGCTGGTTCAGCTGCGGGCATCACTACAGGCTCTGGTTGACTCCCTTTAGGGCCAGAACATTGGGCATCAGGGTGAGTCTTGTGAGAGTTTTCAGCACATACTGCAGGCTTTGCTGGTTCGGCCACAGGCTTCACTGGAGGCTTTGCTGGCTCAGCTGCGGGCATCACTACAGGCTCTGGTTGACTCCCTTTAGGGCCAGAACATTGGGCATCAGGGTGAGTTTGACAGTTTTCAGCACATACTGCAGGCTTTGCTGGTTCGGCCACAGGCTTCACTGGAGGCTTTGCTGGCTCAGCTGCGGGCATCACTACAGGCTCTGGTTGACTCCCTTTAGGGCCAGAACATTGGGCATCAGGGTGAGTTTGACAGTTTTCAGCACATACTGCAGGCTTTGCTGGTTCGGCCACAGGCTTCACTGGAGGCTTTGCTGGTTCAGCTGCGGGCATCACTACAGGCTCTGGTTGACTCCCTTTAGGGCCAGAACATTGGGCATCAGGGTGAGTTTGACAGTTTTCAGCACATACTGCAGGCTTTGCTGGTTCGGCCACAGGCTTCACTGGAGGCTTTGCTGGCTCAGCTGCGGGCATCACTACAGGCTCTGGTTGACTCCCTTTAGGGCCAGAACATTGGGCATCAGGGTGAGTTTGACAGTTTTCAGCACATACTGCATGCTTTGCTGGTTCGGCCGCAGGCTTCACTGGAGGCTTTGCTGGCTCAGCTGCGGGCATCACGACAGGCTCGGGTTGACTCCCTTTAGGGCCAGAACATTGGGCATCAGGGTGAGTTTGACAGTTTTCAGCACATACTGCAGGCTTTGCTGGTTCGGCCGCAGGCTTCACTGGAGGCTTTGCTGGTTCAGCTGCGGGCATCACCACAGGCTCTGGTTGACTCCCTTTAGGGCCAGAACATTGGGCAACAGGGTGAGTTTTGTGAGAGTTTTCAGCACATACTGCAGGATTTGCTGGTTCGGCCACAGACTTCACTGGAGGCTTTGCTGGTTCGGCCACAGAGATACAGACAAAGAACAAAATAAATGTGACTTTCAGCATTCAGTGTTATGAAAAAAAAAGTGGTCAAAGATCAGAACAGGATTCACAAGCAAATACTAGTTCAGTCTTTCTACTTTATAGCTTCACATTTAGTTAACATTGTCCTCCAGAGCAGTCTTGATCACAAGTACATCCTCCATAGCATGACCGTCAACTTTACCAGACACTACAGGGGTGTTATTGTAATGTTTACAACCTACCCCACTACTGGTGAGGTGTGTTATAGAAGCACAATGCAGATAGAAGATAACCAGTTAATATGTTGTTCTTAAGTTTCCTTTTACAACTAATGGTATGCTACTCCACATCATATTTTGTAAGGCACTTATTTATGCATTTCTTCAGGCAGTGTAAAGAAGCTAAAAGATCTTCTTACCTATGACTCCAGCGTGGTTTGTGCTCAAACATGCAAACAGACACAATAAAACAACACTCAATGAGCAGTACACTCGAGCTGTCATCCTCTCGACCTGCGATCTCACAATCAACTCTTCTAGAAGAAGATGCACCGAATTAGTCAGCCAGGGGGACAGTGAAGCACTCAAAACTACACTAAAAAGAGATGTGCTGCTGAATCCTTTAAGATAAATTGCTGTCTAAAGATTTATAGATCCAAGGAAGTCTGGGTAGCTCCAACACTGATGAAACTCACCTGTAGCTTTCTAGAAGCCTAATCTTGAAGACCTTGATTAGCTTGTTCAGGTGTGTTTGATTAGGTTGGGTGCTGCGTTCAGGTCAGATGTCTTGCCTGAAATGTAGTCGAGAGTAGGCGGCTGAATTGAGAGGAGGAGTGAAAAAAGCGCAGGCAAGCCAGACAGATCTCATTTCTCGCAGTGGGTCTGACACGTGTGAGATCAAAGACTGAAATCGGGATTCAGGCTCGTGCACAGTGTTGCTAATAAACTGGATGTAATTTAGGTTCTGTTGCTTTTATATGAAAATAAATATAATGAACAAGATACCCAAAGTACTTAGTTATTTAATTATATTCCAAATATGTGTTTATCAATCTTTTTTTTCTCTAATACAGACATGTGTTTTTTATATATTGTTTTAATAAAAATGACATCATATAATATCGCACTGTCAGAGAGTTTATTCACTCATAACATATGTATACACATAAAACATGATATCAGAGTTTTAAAATCAAACATTTTAAAATACAACAATACATCACGGTTGTTTAAACCAATGAGCATTAAGCTGTGTCGACAGTGGTTTCCTATCATGCTTTTGATCAGCGCTGTCGGTGGAGAGCAACAGCCCTACAAAGGCAAAAGAACTTAAAGATGAACTGAACTGAAAAAAATAATAATAATAATAATAGAGTTGGAGTTGGATCCAGATCTAAAGGGGTGAGGATTAGGGGTGGGGTTAGGAATCAGGTTGAATTTGGATCCAACTCCTCTCCCTGCATTCCATGTTCTGCAGTGAGGACCATCTCAAAGATTCAGGTCCTGAACAATACCAAGGTTCCCCTGCGAAACTGGGCTAGGCACTGATAAAACGCCATTATCATTCTTTCCAAGAGCAAAGTATGCCGGGTTCTCTCATGAGATGGAATCAGCTGGCTTTTGGCGTAGATGATTCTGGACCCCAGATTCGTGAAACGAGAAGAGAGCATCTCTGTGTCCCATTCTGCACACTCCCGTGAGTGAGCGCATGTACGATAATCATCCAGATGAGCAGATATTCTGAGCCCATTGTGTCTCAGCATTGAAAATGCTGCCTCTATGCACATGTTGAACCCATGCAGAGTTAGGCTGAGCCCGAATGGAAAAGTAAAAAATGTGTACACTTCGCTCTGAAAGGAAAAACAGATATATTTCTTGTGCGCAGGACAGATGCTTATATATAAGCTTCCTTGAGATCACACCCACAGACTGTGCGAATGATAACATTGTACTCACGACTGAATCCCTTTAATTTGGAATTAAAGCATTGGCACATCTTTTTAAAAAAAATGGCGAAAATGCTGAAATCAGTCAGGAAATTTGAGTCAATTGTTCCGTTTTTAAAATAGTTGCTGGTTCGATAGAATTATCTATAAGATTGCTTTTAAGGAGCACGTGCACGTATAACGCTAATATATGGGGGCATATAATAAGTAAAAAGAAATCGCTAGTTTATACCAAAATCGCCCCACACTAACACAGTAACGTAACGTAATAAGATGATACTTTATAAAGACAATCCACTTCGTGTATACAGGCAGGAGAAAATAGTCGACAAGTCGAACCACGAACGCTGTTCATATAGTTCAGAAGTTTACTGAACTTTTTACAGTTCAGCTCACTTGGCACATCGTTCGTGGTTCGACTTATCGAGACTGTTTTCCAAAGGTCCTGCTGTGTATAAACGAAGTGGACTTCATAAGTTCTTATTAAACGGTCTGTACACCTACAAAGTTCTCAATGCTTCATTTTGCATGTAGGGACCCTTATCATGCGACTGTGTTAATGTAGGGTTATTTTAAGCCTTGTTAGTGGTATTAACTAGCGATTTCTTTTTACTTATTAAATGCCCTCATACGCAACATGACATCATGACTTTTGCGTAAACATACACGCCAATTTCGAGTCAAGTGGCGTGTTATCTCGACGCATTTTGAGCTATCCGCGTGTATGTCTACGCCATTAACGTCCGCGTCATTCCGCGTGTCTGTACACTCCGTCAAATGTCCGAGCGAAACAAAGCAAAATGTACATCTACATCTGGGGAGCTATGTTTTTCTTTCCTAGGATGGTAAGGGAACAGTCATAAATGCCATTAACCCTAGTGACGGGTAGGTTTAGGGACGGGGTTGAGGTAAGTCATATTTATATATACAGTAATAACGTTAAGTCAACAGCGTTCATAAACACGCTGAAAAGAAATTATGCGTGTTTATCGCACGCCAAAAAAGGAAATACGAATTGGCGTGTCATACAGACGCTACTTCATGAGATCAGTCTGTCATACTAGCATTATAAGGTAAACAGTTTAGAGATTAAACTCTTTACATTTGAGAATGAAAACAGATCTTAGAGAACGGTTAACTAGGTACCAAAGTTTTATTAGACCAAAGGTTCATTTTGCGCCAGAGTTCTCCTTTAAACGTGCTAAATTAATGAAACTTCAGGCAAATGAATTGATTTCCATTTTTTATTTTTTTTTAAACAGGGAAAACAATCATAAAAAACACTGTTAACTGCATGCATGGCTTACTTCATGGCCAGGAGGACCCCCCCCCCCTTATAACCAGGATATTGGGCATTAGGGTGAGTTTGACAGTTTTCAGCACATACTGCAGGCTTTGCTGGTTCAGCCACAGGCTTCACTGGAGGCTTTGCTGGTTCAGCTGCGGGCATCACTACAGGCTCTGGTTGACTCCCTTTAGGGCCAGAACATTGGGCATCAGGGTGAGTCTTGTGAGAGTTCAGCACATACTGCAGGCTTTGCTGGTTCGGCCACAGGCTTCACTGGAGGCTTTGCTGGCTCAGCTGCGGGCATCACTACAGGCTCTGGTTGACTCCCTTTAGGGCCAGAACATTGGGCATCAGGGTGAGTTTGACAGTTTTCAGCACATACTGCAGGCTTTGCTGGTTCGGCCACAGGCTTCACTGGAGGCTTTGCTGGCTCAGCTGCGGGCATCACTACAGGCTCTGGTTGACTCCCTTTAGGGCCAGAACATTGGGCATCAGGGTGAGTTTGACAGTTTTCAGCACATACTGCAGGCTTTGCTGGTTCGGCCACAGGCTTCACTGGAGGCTTTGCTGGCTCAGCTGCGGGCATCACTACAGGCTCTGGTTGACTCCCTTTAGGGCCAGAACATTGGGCATCAGGGTGAGTTTGACAGTTTTCAGCACATACTGCAGGCTTTGCTGGTTCGGCCACAGGCTTCACTGGAGGCTTTGCTGGTTCAGCTGCGGGCATCACCACAGGCTTGGTTGACTCCCTTTAGGGCCAGAACATTGGGCATCAGGGTGAGTTTGACAGTTTTCAGCACATACTGCAGGCTTTGCTGGTTCGGCCACAGGCTTCACTGGAGGCTTTGCTGGTTCAGCTGCGGGCATCACTACAGGCTCTGGTTGACTCCCTTTAGGGCCAGAACATTGGGCATCAGGGTGAGTTTGACAGTTTTCAGCACATACTGCATGCTTTGCTGGTTCGGCCGCAGGCTTCACTGGAGGCTTTGCTGGTTCAGCTGCGGGCATCACGACAGGCTCGGGTTGACTCCCTTTAGGGCCAGAACATTGGGCATCAGGGTGAGTTTGACAGTTTTCAGCACATACTGCAGGCTTTGCTGGTTCGGCCGCAGGCTTCACTGGAGGCTTTGCTGGTTCAGCTGCGGGCATCACTACAGGCTCTGGTTGACTCCCTTTAGGGCCAGAACATTGGGCAACAGGGTGAGTTTTGTGAGAGTTTTCAGCACATACTGCAGGATTTGCTGGTTCGGCCACAGACTTCACTGGAGGCTTTGCTGGTTCGGCCACAGAGATACAGACAAAGAACAAAATAAATGTGACTTTCAGCATTCAGTGTTATGAAAAAAAAGTGGTCAAAGATCAGAACAGGATTCACAAGCAAATACTAGTTCAGTCTTTCTACTTTATAGCTTCACATTTAGTTAACATTGTCCTCCAGAGCAGTCTTGATCACAAGTACATCCTCCATAGCATGACCGTCAACTTTACCAGACACTACAGGGGTGTTATTGTAATGTTTACAACCTACCCCACTACTGGTGAGGTGTGTTATAGAAGCACAATGCAGATAGAAGATAACCAGTTAATATGTTGTTCTTAAGTTTCCTTTTACAACTAATGGTATGCTACTCCACATCATATTTTGTAAGGCACTTATTTATGCATTTCTTCAGGCAGTGTAAAGAAGCTAAAAGATCTTCTTACCTATGACTCCAACGTGGTTTGTGCTCAAACATGCAAACAGACACAATAAAACAACACTCAATGAGCAGTACACTCGAGCTGTCATCCTCTCGACCTGCGATCTCACAATCAACTCTTCTAGAAGAAGATGCACCGAATTAGTCAGCCAGGGGGACAGTGAAGCACTCAAAACTACACTAAAAAGAGATGTGCTGCTGAATCCTTTAAGATAAATTGTTGTCTAAAGATTTATAGATCCAAGGAAGTCTGGGTAGCTCCAACACTGATGAAACTCACCTGTAGCTTTCTAGAAGCCTAATCTTGAAGACCTTGATTAGCTTGTTCAGGTGTGTTTGATTAGGTTGGGTGCTGCGTTCAGGTCAGATGTCTTGCCTGAAATGTAGTCGAGAGTAGGCGGCTGAATTGAGAGGAGGAGTGAAAAAAGCGCAGGCAAGCCAGACAGATCTCATTTCTCGCAGTGGGTCTGACACGTGTGAGATCAAAGACTGAAATCGGGATTCAGGCTCGTGCACAGTGTTGCTAATAAACTGGATGTAATTTAGGTTCTGTTGCTTTTATATGAAAATAAATATAATGAACAAGATACCCAAAGTACTTAGTTATTTAATTATATTCCAAATATGTGTTTATCAATCTTTTTTTTTCTTTAATACAGACATGTGTTTTTTATATATT